ATATTTTGTTTTTAACATAAGTTAAAAATTTTAAATGAAATTATATAATTAAGTATTTTAAAATTATTTTCTACTTGACTTACTCTAATTTCTGCAGATTCAAGTCTAATTTCTGGTGCAAACTATTAATTTCCGAAGATTGGCAAAGATCAAAGACTTCGTCGAAATTATTATCGTTATCTAAAGATGGTTCTTTAGAACAATTTAATTGAAGTTGAATTTCACTGACGAAAACAGAAGAATTTACTTCTTTCGTTGCAGGATTCTTGAAATTAGTTTCAGATTCTTCCACCGACTTTTCTACAAATGCAGCAGGATTAACAACGGACTTCTCCTTGTCTATGTTACTGGAATAAAGTAAATGAAATACTTAATTTAAAACAGACTAATTGTTTAAAGTTGTATATAACATTTTGTTTTAATTTCGTTCTAATTTGTTTTTTAAATATATAAATTAAAAAATATTTTTCTTACGAATTTTCATTCAGAGTATGATTAGAAGAGACTGAAATCCGAGAACTGCAAGCTGTAATAACCGACGTCGACTTTGAATTCTCATTCTGCGTTTCTAGTAATTTATAATTTACAGTATCGACCTTTCTTTTTTGTTCAATTTCTTTAAGGCGTGCCTTCAAAATTTGCAACTGATTTTTAATATTTCCAGAAGACTTAATCTTTTTTAATTGCGGACGATCATCCTCGGAAGACGTTGGCAAATGCCGTTTTGGAGTTTTAATTTGTCTTCCTTTGCTTGTTACTTTTACTTCTTTTGTGGATTTTTTGCGAGAATTTTCCATGATGAACTTAAAAAAACGATAATTTATATTGTTAATAATTCCAAATTGCAATAAGTTTATTATAGTAATAGATACATTTTGGACCTCCAGTGGGCACGGACACACAAGCTGACTTAAAGACGTCTTTAGGACATTTTCTTTAATGGAAGATATTTTGATATGAAATAACCCTTGTTTTTTACTTTTCACAAAAATATTTGATTTCTAAGATTGGAAATATTTATCTTTAAAATCAAGTGATGAGTTTTTGTTATAAAACTAGATTTTGATCCACAAAAATCTTAATTACTTTCTTTAAAGTACTTAAAAAAGGTAATCTTCAAAAATTTTAATTTTCGAATTCATATTCTTTTTAATAAAAAATTCTATCCATGTAAATGTTAAGCACCTGCATTTACTCTCTTTGAGTCGGTAAAATTTTAGAATTTAAGGAAAACTTTGTTAAGTCAATACTTAGTTTTTTATTATTCTCAATAAACCGTCACTTCCAAAAATTCATTTTTATATTTATCTGATCTCTAGTTCGTGGAAATTTGTGTTAAATTTTTTGTTTTATTCTGATAAAATATGTTTCTAATGTAAGATTATTGAAATATAAAATTAATTTCACTTTAATTCATTACTTACTCGCTTAAGGGCGATTAATACCTTTTAGATAATTTCAATAATGAATGTCTACATTGTCGGGCACTTCCAATGGTGATAACAATGAAGCACAAATATATTGGTTTTCTAATACAATTTCTTGCCGTCCTTCTATATTACTCCATTTTGGCATTAGATATACTTTGTCTTTTACATCTGTAAATGGTACTACTTTAAGTTCAGGCATTAAGTTTGTGCATTCATACACATCAACATAATCTGACGTCAGATTAACGTCGTAGATTGCACGTTTAGATTCTATGTTCTTTATTATGCAAATTTTCGTGTTTTTCAGTTTGCAACAGCTGTCACGCAACGCAATAGCAAATGTGAATCCCTCAAATTTTAGATTTTTAAATTGCTTGCAAAGGTGGATAGGAATATTTCCAGGGACAGGTCCATCTACGTGTTTTTGTGATAAACGAAGGCCAGTTTCGCTGTTTAAAGGTTCTGGAGTGAGACCTTCTTTTTCAGAGATTCTTTTGTACACTTGTTGAAGTTTCATTTCTGGTTTTCTAATATACTTTCGTACTTCAGGCATATTATTTTCAAAACAAAATGCGCTAAATGATTCTAATGGACAAAGCGTTGCAACGTCTTGTACAATATGTGTCAGGCCATGAATATTGTATGAGAGAAATTGCTCACCATAAAGATGTGCACAGGAATCTACGAAAGTTTCTAAAGATTCTTGACAGAATGGATATATATCGCGTGGAGTATCCTTCAGAATAAGTAGACGCATTACGCTATGTAATGTCATGAAATGAAGATAATGGTCCTCTGAAAAAATATCTTTTAGAATAGGGGCTGAAGTATACAGCAAAAATTGTCGACACTCAGTTGCTTTAAACTTTCCAAACTTACTGAACGCCTGTGGACGACGATTGAACTCTGAAGAACAATAAGATTGAAGCATTACCATTCTACCGTCAAGAATGTCTAATTTTCTTCCATTCAATTTCAATAATCGAAATCCAAAGTTGCCATGGATATGTGCAGACATCACTTTTTTACAAGCTCCCACCCAGACAAGATGCATAGGTTCGAAAGGAACTTGAGTAACCAAACCCAGTAAGCGAGATAGAGGACTTCCTCCCTTATGGTGATTACACAGCCCCACAAAAAAAAAAAAGTGTCGTGCGCGGCAGACCAGACTAGTCATTTCCCATGTATTTTGACGCGCTGCACACGAATCCGAAGTCCGTTTTGCTCCATCACGTCAGGATTTTTTTCTAACCTCCAAAAACCTGTCGGATTTTGAGAGGTAGGCTATTTTTTTTAAAATTGATGGATTTACTTCAAAATTGGTATCTAGGGGTTTTTTGGGTCGCTGATGACGAATTTGAAGTTAGATTTTCAAAATTCAAAATGGCGGCTCCAATATGGCGGATGAATTTTGTAAAAATTGATGGATTTACTTCAAACTTGGTATCTAGGGGTTTTTTGGGTCGCTGATTACGAATCTAAAGTTAGATTTTCAAAATTTAAAATGGCGGCTCCAATATGGCGGACGATATCGACCCTTCAAAGGTGATAATTCCGCCCTTACACACGAAACTAGGAGCAATTAAACAGTTTGTCAAAGCCTTAGATAAAAAAGGAAACTGTTTCAAATACCTGGAACAAAAGTTTCCAGAAATCTCTGATGCGAAACTAAAAGAAGGGGTTTTCGATGGACCACGTATTCGCAAATTGTTAAAAGATGAGCAATTTATCACCAAGATGAATAAAAAGGAGAAAGCCGCATGGCTTAGTTTTAAAGCAGTTGTCGAAAATTTTCTGGGTAATCACAAGAGTGAAAATTGGGAGCAAATAGTGATATGATTAAAACCTTTGGTAAGTTAGGATGCTTAATGAGCATAAAGTTGCATTACTTAGACTCGCATCGGGATCAATTCCCTGAAAATTTGGGAGATTACAGTGAAGAACAAGGAGAACGATTCCATCAAGATCTGAAAGAATTTGAGCGTCGTTATCAAGGAAGATGGGATGTAAATATGATGGCCGACTACTGTTGGATGCTGAAAAGGGATATTGTACCTGGAGGCACCAATTTGAAAAGAAAACCATTACACAAATCCTTTGAGGACAAAAGAGTGCGCTACCATAAAAAGACGTGAATACCTTACTTATGTATATAAGAATTTTCATTTCTAGTTTTGAAAATCTAACTTCAGATTCGTAATCAGCGACCCAAAAAACCCCTAGGTACCAAGTTTGAAGTAAATCCATCAATTTTTACAAAATTCGTCCGCCATATTGGAGCCGCCATTTTAAATTTTGAAAATCTAACTTCAGATTCGTAATCAGCGACCCAAAAAACCCCTAGATACCAAGTTTGAAGTAAATCCATCAACTTTTACAAAATTCGTCCGCCATATTGGAGCCGCCATTTTGAATTTTGAAAATCTAACTTCAAATTCGTCATCAGCGACCCAAAAAACCCCTAGATACCAATTTTGAAGTAAATCCATCAATTTTAAAAAAAATAGCCTACCTCTCAAAATCCGACAGGTTTTTGGAGGTTAGAAAAAAATCCTGACGTGATGGAGCAAAACGGACTTCGGATTCGTGTTCAGCGCGTCAAAATACATGGGAAATGACTAGTCTGGTCTGCCGCGCACGACACTTTTTTTTTTTTGTGGGGCTGTGTTATCATCTAACAAATTTTTGGACTGATCATCATTTCTAAGTTCGTGTCCAACGCCTTCGAAAATTGTAGTTCTTTCAAACCCCACTTCTGTACGATGTCCTTCTACTTTGCACTTAGAACAAGCTGAAGACGAATTATGACTGTAATGATTTAGCACTAAAGCCCTTGCCGGTGCATCGGCAATTAGGGATCGTCCATAAACTACGTAGCCAGCTTAGGGGGAGGGGGGGGGTCCAGCGAAAGTCTACGGTTGACTACGTGGGGGAGGGGAGGGGTTCAAGCCATGACTACGTAGTTTTATATCTTATTTTTCTTTTTTTTAAATAGCGCGGGTAATTTTAAATTCGAACCTACCTTCCCGAAGCGAGCCAAATCTAGGGAAATTGTCTCGAATCATGTTTTTCCCTTTACCCTTAAATTGCGTTCACAGCTTTCACTAGCCAAAGGAATAAAAAACATGATTGGTCGGTTCTACAAGAAAAATTGAACTTGCTGTTAGAAAGGACAAATCATGTTTTTTATTCCTTTGGCTATAGTAAAAGCTATGATCGAACCTTTACTGTTTGTCGGCATGTTTATGTTTACATCCGAGCTCAAGTTTAAACTTGAAACGCCGGCATCTCCACGTGAACTTATTCTATTCATTATTTTGTAAAAGTGCAATTTTTATCGAAATATAAATGTCGCTATATCATAAATTATTCGAAGCGTATAAAAAGTGTTATAGTGGAGAATTTTCAAAGTTGAAAATACAGAATGATGTTAATGAGATGTGGAAATGTCTAAAACAGGATAAATTGACATTAACTGAAAATACCGAGAAAAAAATAAAAGAGTTGTTGCAATTGTAACGAACCAGTTTGTTACTAAAATAATATTCGCTGCCCTTCCGGGTGATTTTCCCAAACAATATATAATTTAAATTTGAATACTTTTCCCGCGCTATTGCCAACTTAAATATGCTTAAGTGGTACGCGTGAAAATTAGCAGACGACAAACGCACATGTGTCCGGCGACCGGAAATTAATATTCAGAGAGAGAATAGCGTTCTCCCAGTTCAGTCGTGCTAATCGAAATTATTATATTAATAGTTGTCTCTGTGAAAACTTAATAATTGTTAATGAATTTATAAGAGAAATCCAAGAATAAATAAAGAATACATAAAAATATTATAAGCGCAATATTCTTTCGACTGGGATAAAATAATAATAATTCATAAAAGAACCATAGCGCAAATTTCTATTTCCACACAAAGAAATCAAGGTAAGTCCAATTTGATTATTCCTTTTTTGAAGTGGTTATATTCTTAATTAAATACTCTCTCAACCGTCATAAATAATGATCAATAGTTACATTTGCTAGTCCCGGAAAGTTCTTAACTTTGTGCCATCCGTATAAGTCGGACTCCATTCTTAAAATTAATTCTTATATGGTTTGCCACAATTTTTGGCGCCCAACGTAGTTTTTTCTAATCAAGCCAAAAATTGTAATTTTTATTACAATTTTTGGCGCCCAACGTGTGTTAATTGGCGAATTAACATATTCACTAATTAAGCCAAAAATTGTAATTTTTATCACAATTTTTGGCGCCCAACGTGTTCAAAAAAAAAAGTTTTTTTTTGGAAAGCCAAAAATCGTGCTTTTTTGCACAATTTTTGGCACCCAACGTGTTTTTGTGAAAATTTTTCTTTCTTTGTGGAAAGCCAAAGATCGTGCCTTTTGCACAATTTTTGGCGCCCAACGTGTTCTTATAGAAAATTTTTGGAAAGTTAAGAATCGTGCCTTTTTGCCACAATTTTTGACACCCAAAATGTTTTTTTTATAAAAGAAAAATTACAAAATTAACGAAAAATCAAGTTTTAAAATAACCTAAAAATCGCCATGTGCTCGACACTTCTCTCGCGCGAAATTAATTGTGTTATAAATTAAAACTTTAAAAATAAATCATTTCCAATATTTTTTTTTATTTTCAAAAAATATATATGAAATAAAAACTCCTAAAAAGAATTTTTCTGGATTGGCAATTGTGACTATATATATATATATACTCGTACGCATTTACAAAAAGTCTCCGCGAGTTGAGAACCGCTCTCTCGCAAGGTCATAGCCTATAGAGACTACAGTATATTCGCTTCTCTCTCTCACTGCTGTAGAATTGTCGACTCTCTTTTTTATACATTTTCGCTTATTCGCCTATGCTACGCTTTGTATTTATATTATTTCTACGCATTGCTAATTGCTTCGCTTTATAATTTTTTAATTTTTATGCCAAATAACATGCTTCGCTTTATATTTTTTAATTATTTTTGCGCTTTATTTAAATAAACAAATAATGTAATTTTCATCATTATTAGCTGAACAAATTACTTCTGCTTACTGCGCATGAACATTATTTCAATTTCAAATGTCTTTTTACATGACAATTATTACAAAATGGTATTTTTACAATTTAAACAATATCTTTTGTGAACAATTTTTCTTTATTGAATGTTAATTACTCTGAAACATTGGATAATGACTACCATGGAAATAAATTCCATTATTTAATTTCCAAATATATTGAAATTTTTTTTGCTTTTCAAGTCACATTATCTCCAACTTGAATAGCAAAACCAAAACAATAATATACAAGTAGTCATACGCAATCAACGATTTTTGCTGGTTTTAATCAAAAATTTTTTTTTTATTGAATTAAATTAAATTTAATTTAATTAATTATTAAAAAAAAAAAAAACAAATTGTTATAAAAAATTTTTTTTTATTTTTTATTTTAAAAAAAAAAAAAAAAGAAAAAAGAAAAAAAGAAGATTTTTTTTTCTCTCTCTTCTTCAATAAACAATTTGTTTTATCAAAATAAAAATCAATCAATGTTTTCTTTTTATTAACAGTTAATTATGACCAGGAAAAGTCATAAAGACAAAATTACAAATAATATTCAAACTCGTTCTCAAACGGAAGCATTCAAAAAATCAAATAAAATGATCAGAACACCAGAAACTAATAAAAGCGAATCGGTTAACCCTAACCAACCCCCCTCACCAACTGAAAGTCTTAGCTCAATTGCTAACGTTTTCGAAGAAGAGAATTTCGAAAACGATAGCACAGCTATGACTCAAGATACATCTACCACATTACCTAATACAACAGGAGCAATTTTAAAAACATCATTTCAGCGCCGCGGTCGAAAACCTAAATCAGCAAAAACACCAATTACAACAACACAATTAAAAACATTTTATTCACGTTTTGAAAATTTAACGTCTACTCAAATAGACGAAAATAATAAATTTAAAAAACAGATTCAGCAATTGTTCGAACGCCATCTTGAAGATTCGCAACAACAAATGCTTAATCTATACAATGATAATCACCGCGAAATAAATGCGCTAAGATTAGAAACTAATAATTCTATGGAAAAACTTCGCGTCGAAATTGCAGATAACATTAGGGATCTCACAACAAAGGTGTCACAACTCCAAACGAAACATGCGCAATCTCCATGGCATGATTCTCGTTGGGAATATGACGTCAGTGGCGATCACATCGCGCTAAAAACTTGCTTACCTCCCACTTCAACCACTAATACGGTTACATTTACAGGTATCACCTCGAGTACAACTCAACGTGCAACAACAGTTACAGCGCAAATGTACCCCCACTCTCGTGCACAACACCTTCGCGACAAGTCCCTCCTGCTAATCGTACTTTGCAATTTTCTGAACCAACAAATTCTATATCACAAGGAAATTCTAATCCAAATTATTCAAACAATCGCGAATTAAACAACCCTCCTGTAAATATAGCCCTTAATGCTTCTTCCGCGCATCGAACACAAGTTCCAAATTTGCATAAAATTATCAAATCCTGGGAACTAAAATTTCCTGGAAAGTTAGATGCTAACGAATTTCTCGACGAATTCGAAAGAAAAATGAACGCATCAGCAATAGATCCTGATGACGCGCTTCCAATTTTTTCTCAAACCTTAAATGAAACAGCTTATTCTTGGTTTAACATGTTTCGTCACAAACGGACAACATGGACCGAATTTTCAAGATCGTTCCGCAAAACTTTCAGCGATGTAAATGATGACAATCAAATTCTCAATAAAATACACCGCGCGGTACAATTAGAAAATGAACCGGGAATGGACTTTGTTTTAAAATTAGGTGCACTTTACAGTAAATTGAGAAATAAAATTCCAGAAAGTAATCAGCTTGATAAAATTTATTTAAGCCTTCATTCTGAATTAATTTCCCTTTTCGATCGCGATAGCTTTTCGACTTACGAAGAACTCTTAGACCAGATACGCAAATATCAAGAGAAAATCGAATTCATGCAACAATCAAACAAGTTACGCGAACAAGACTCTAAACGGTCCCGTAATTCGCGCAACAAAAATCAATTAAATGCAATTGATTCGCAAACATCTCAATCTAAAACCCCTTCCGTCGAACCTATCGAAACCGAAACTAGCGTTGAAACAAAACCAAAGCAAGCGAAAAAAGGTAAACAAAAAGCGAAACCCAAACCTGAACAAAATTTAAACAAAATTGACATGTACAAAAAACAATTTGAGTCACTAAAACAAAAATTAAATATTAATGATACAGACAATTCTAAGCCATATAAATCGAAAAATGCAGTAATTGCCCCCACCACTTCTTCGTCTTCTCATCGGTCGCGCAAACGCTCAACTTCTACCTCTTCTAGCTCCTCAGGCTCCGCCTCGTCGCAGAAAGGGGGGGAAAAGCGTAGATCGCCTGCGCACAAAAAACATGACAAGCACGAAAAGTCACGAAACTATAACGGTCGTGGAAACGGTCGAGGCGGCAATAACCAAAATAATCGTGGACGCGGTTACAAAAATGGATGGAATGGTACCGGTCGCGGTTGGAACTACAACCATGATTACTACCATAACTCCCCCCACTCTTCGCAGTATTGCCAGCTTGACTGCCAGTGCAGCGCGCAACCTATGCGGCCATCTTTTCCTCCGCATGCGCCTCCACAGCAACCAATGCAGCCACCTTGGCACGGTAATTATAACCGCGACTTCCCACCAAATTTCGGTCAAAATGCGCCTAATGATTCTCAACCAAAAAACGGCAGAGATGCCAGGAGAGATTAGATCTCCCTGGCGAAATATCAATAAATTCAAGCGATAAATTACCGAAAATTATAAAAATAAATAATCCTGACGAGATTAATACACGTTCAAACTCAGAGAGCATTCCTATCGCTAAAGAATCAACGTATAATCCTCAAATAGCATCAACGCTAAATAAAGCGCATGCAAGTAGGATTGATACTAGTGATTCTGAAAACGATTACGACGATTGCTTCTATTCTGAATCCGAGACGGAGTACTACGATTCTGAGGAAGATTGCCCCTCCACAGTAGGCGCGCGCATATCTTCACTCAAATCATTGCCCTTGGCAAATCAGTCAAACAATTTATTTACATTGACTGATAAAACTAAGCCCAAAGTACACAAAGGGCCCGCATTGCCCTCACCGCCTCAGGAACGATGTACAATTTCCACTACAATTAAAATCGGTAATGAAAAAATAATCGCGCTTCTTGACACAGGTAGTGATCGTACCTTTATGTCAGGAGATCTTTATGATAAAATTAAAAATTTAGCTAACGGCGATCCGATTAAGGATGCAATAACGCGCGCTGGCGTACAACTCGCACAACGCGACCACGTAGCCGCGCCTCGTCATTCGGTAAAATTCAATATAGAGTTAGGTAATTGCCATGGTGAATTATGGTTTGCTGTTCTCGACGGCCTAACCACACCAGTAATATTAGGCATGGACTTTATAATTAGTTGGCAAGTTGTCATTGACGCATGCCAAGGTTATTGGTCCATGAAAGGGTCATCTCTTCGACACCCTTTAGGCTCCCGTTCTAATACGCGCAGCTTCCTAAATTCTGCTCAATTAATTGAATTAACTACAGAACAAAGAAAAATATTAGATGAGTTCTTAGATGATAAATTATCGAAATTTATTTCTGGGACCGGTGTTACTGATTTAACCACGCATGTGATCGAACTCACCGATCCCACACCTTTTAAATTAAAACCTTATCGCCGCAGCTTAGAAGCAAATAAAATAATAAACGATCAAATTGATAAATATTTAGATAAAAAGTTTATAATCAGAAGCAATGGACGCTTCGCTAGCCCGGTAGTGCTCACTTATCGTAAGGATGGCAGGCCCAGAGTATGCATGGATTTCCGAATGTTAAATAAAAACACAAAGAAATCAGCTTACCCTCTGCCACGCATGGATACGATACTTGACGCATTATCCGAGGCCAATGTTATTAGCACTATAGACTTGACCGATGCGTTTCACCACATTCCTATTGACCCGAAGTCGCGCGAGTATACCGCCTTCGTTGTCCCTGGTCGTGGGCAGTTCGAATGGGTCAGAATGCCCTTCGGACTCACAAACGCGCCGGCCACCTTTCAAGCGCTAACCGATCGACTAAAAGAAAAATTTATAGAGTATATTCGTGCTAATAATTTACCGGAACGTTACTCTGAACAAGTTCATGCTTATCTCGACGATTGGATCATAATATCCAAAACTTTCGAAGAACACATTCTGCTTCTTGACATAGTCCTTACTATTTTAAAAGAAGCAGGATTGTCTATTAATCGCGAAAAATCGTACTTCGCCAAATCGTCGGTAGAATATTTAGGTTTCATCCTTGACAAAGACGGATTAAAGCCTAACCCCAAGCGTGTTGAACCGATCCTCGAGCGCACAACTCCACGAAACCGTAAAGAGTTGCGCCGGTTCAATGGTTCGGTAAACTGGTATCACCGCCACTTGCGCAATATAGCAAAAGTGCAGGGACCGCTCAATAAACTAGCGAGTCCTAAGGTACCTTGGAACTGGACCGAAGAACACGAGACCGCGTTCATAGAAGTCAAAGAATCTTTGAAAAAGGCTTTGCCTTTAGTCGCGCCTAAACCTGGTTTACCATTTTTCTTATATACTGATGCAAGCGACACCGGTATTGGTGCCATTTTGACACAGCAAGATGGAGAAAAAGAATACTTAATCACATGCTTAAGCAGACCTTTAAGAGGTGCTGAATTAAATTACACCACCACAGAAAAGGAATGCTTAGCTGTGATCTTTGCTATCAAAAAGCTCCGCTGTTACCTAGAATGCGCTGAATTTACTGTGATCACAGATCATTCCAGTTTAATTTGGTTGCAAGGCCTTAAAGACCCAAAAGGTAGGCTTGCGCGATGGGCTCTCGAGTTATCCGCAAACAATGTCAAAATCGAACATAGAAAAGGTACGACCAATGAAGCGCCTGATACTCTTTCAAGACTTTACGAAGACGTTACACTTGACGAAAATTCCACAGAATTAAATCTCATTCAAAATAACGCCTGGTACAATAGTATGTTAGAAAAAGTTCAGAAAGATCCGACGCGCAATGAAAGATATAAAATTGACTCGAACAATCAATTATATTACTTTAAACCTAATCTGGTTAAAGAAACCATAGGCGATAATAACGCCTGGAAGAAAATCCTTAAGGAAAATGAAATTTTACCAATCATTACGGAGCATCATTGTACTCCTCAATCTGCGCATCAGGGAATTAATAAAACTTATCTCTCTATAATAAACCATTTTTATTGGCCCGGAATGCGTGAAGATATCAAGCGTTTTGTTAATGAATGCGAAATTTGCCTAAAGTGTAAACCGAAGAATTCTTCACCACAAGGCTTAATTTATCCGCGCAAAATTACAGAACCTTGGGAAACAGTGTCTCTCGATATTGTAGGTCCCTTACCTCGATCGAAATCAGGTAAAAATTATATTCTAGTCTGTGAAGATACATATACTCGTTATATAGACTGCTTCGCGCTTTCCAAAGCAGACGGTCCTAAAATCGTTAAATCTTTAAGCACCCTCGTTAACCGATGGGGAGCGCCTAGAATAGTCATCACCGATAACGGTACAGAATTTGTGAATCGCAATGTTACATCATTTTTACAAAAAATTGGCTCGTTACAACGAACTACACCCGTTTATCACCCTCAGGCAAACCCTGTCGAGCGCATAAACCGTAATTTAAAAACGATGTTAGCAAGTCTTCTTGGTGAGAATCAGCGCGAATGGGATATTTTACTCGAAGATATCCAATTCGCCTATAACACCACAGTCCACACCTCCCTTGGTGTCACGCCAGCTTTCTTAAATTTTGCTCGTGAACCACGACGGATAGGTGAACCGCTACGCGACACAAACACTGACATTAACCTAGATGAAACAATTCACACTTGGTTAGATCGTATGAAACACATAGACGCCTTACGCACAAAAGTTGAACAATTTATGATTAAAGCTAGCAAAAAGCAAGGTAAATTATACAATAAAAATCGAAAGAATAATATTGACTTTCAACTTGGAGATTTAGTGTTCTATCCCAATAATACATTATCCAACGCGACTCGTGGTTATAGTTCTAAGCTTGCTCCTCGTTATAAAGGACCTGCCATAATTACTGAGAAGTTATCTCCCATGGTGGTCATTATCAACGATAATAATGGTAAAAGACTTGGTAAATATCATGTCAACGACCTAAAGCCTGCACGAAAAAATTTACGATCGCGATCTACGATGTAAAATTTATTTTTAGATCTGTCAATCAACATGGACAAGGCAGAAAGAGTCATTGAGGATCCATCATCGGCAACATTGCCGAAAATTCCCGTTTTGCGCATACAGTTGACCTCTGAAAGGTCAAGCGATGCCATCATCACCAGCGAATCCAGTGACTTAGTCGCAGTCAATAGGGCAGATTTTGAGGCCCTATTGTCAGAGCGAAGCCATTTGATGGAAAAGTTGGCTGCAACGCGCAAGGAATTATCGATTCTGGAGGAGGATACTAGACCTAGTGCTACTCCTACATCAAGATTTGAGGCCGATCTCGGGGACCAATACAAAGCCCTCCTAGATCTATTAAAAGAGCGCCACGATCTCTCTGCCCAAATCGCCAAGATTACTGAGGAATCTGATGATCTTCGTGCCAATTGCGCAAGGATGAAAAAAGACTTGAAATCTTACGAAGAGGATTACCATCACTTATCGGAGGATTATTCCTACCAAGAGGATTACAGCAACCGTTTGCGTGAATTGTTCCACCGAACAGTGTCGGAGGTTTATCATGCGCATGCCAATTTACGCGAGCCAAAACTTCGACCAAAAGTGCCAGAAGGATGCCTTAATTGCGGAATACCAGGGCATAGCTTCCGCTCTTGTCACAAAAAATACTCAGGTAAATTTTGCCAAGTCTGCGCGCATCCTGATTTCACAACCAAAGAATGTCCCTGGCCACACTATCCAAACGCATTCACCAGCATCCCCGAAAATCGCAGATGCAAGTCATGCTGGCAACCTAAAAATTTGCCTAATCCACACTGCGTTGACTGTCGAAGACGGATGATCGCTGAAGGTATCATCAAGCGCAACAAATTAGCGCAAGAATTGGAAAATTCGGCACCCAAGCAGCAATCCATCGACGAACCAAATTCCAGAGACCAAGCCTCTACTTCAGCTCCAAGAAGCGCAGCAGCTTCACAAACAGGAGAAGTACATGTGTCGTCCATCGCTATTAATAATTCAAGAAGTGACATATCTATACAGTCACTTCCTTCAACATCCAAGGCTAGAGCACCTCGATCTAACCAAGAGACTGAACCGGTAGATTCAACTGCGCCATCCAAATTTGAGCCACCACTCGACCAAGAGACCGCCGCTAAATTGGCCGCTTTACCAATCAGTGGTCACTCACGTATTGCGCAAAACTTCATCTCTCCACGCGAATCAGAGGAAGATAATATCACTCTGTGGGCGAATCTCAAGGACGCCTTAGGAATTGGTTTAGACAAGGACGATGAGAAAGAACCAAATTCTTTCCCCTTTACGCGCTAGATGTTTTGTAGCATCAGTCAAGTCGCACTTAAAAAAAAAATTTTTTTATTTTATTTTCATTATTTCTATTTTTTTATATTATTAATAGTTAGACATTAGTCTTTATAGTTACAACCGTCGCTTAATCTTTTTCTTTTCATAGTTATTATGCGACAAAGTATTATGTAGAATTAAACAAAATACTCATTTTTTTATTATTATAATTATAATTTCTTTTTATTTACTTTTGAATAGCAGTATTACTATTAGTTAATCAAAGCTATCATTCCAAAGTGCCAATTGCGCCAAAAAAAAAAAAAAAAAAAATATATATATATCGTTAAAAATTTATATATTTTTGTACTTAATTGTTAAAATGTTTAAATATGAACGAAAACTACCTCAACGTTGTATGAGCAATCGCTTCGATAGAAAATAAAAATTCATGTTCAATACTTCTACTTATTATTTCATAGTATCACTGTTCGAAGAAGCGCTATGGTTCCAAAATGACAGTTGAGAGATACAATTATTTAATCTTTACCTAAAGTTTTATTTTTTAAATTTGTTTGACATAATTGTTTAATTAAAATACTTTCTTACTTTCATTTAGCATTTAAAACTTTTTAAAAAGGCTATATAACCAGATTCAGTGGAATGGTTGATTGGACCTCACAAATCGCAGAGGAAAAATTACTCGCAACGGCAGTTAAGAAAGGGGGATTGTAACGAACCAGTTTGTTACTAAAATAATATTCGCTGCCCTTCCGGGTGATTTTCCCAAACAATATATAATTTAAATTTGAATACTTTTCCCGCGCTATTGCCAACTTAAATATGCTTAAGTGGTACGCGTGAAAATTAGCAGACGACAAACGCACATGTGTCCGGCGACCGGAAATTAATATTCAGAGAGAGAATAGCGTTCTCCCAGTTCAGTCGTGCTAATCGAAATTATTATATTAATAGTTGTCTCTGTGAAAACTTAATAATTGTTAATGAATTTATAAGAGAAATCCAAGAATAAATAAAGAATACATAAAAATATTATAAGCGCAATATTCTTTCGACTGGGATAAAATAATAATAATTCATAAAAGAACCATAGCGCAAATTTCTATTTCCACACAAAGAAATCAAGGTAAGTCCAATTTGATTATTCCTTTTTTGAAGTGGTTATATTCTTAATTAAATACTCTCTCAACCGTCATAAATAATGATCAATAGTTACATTTGCTAGTCCCGGAAAGTTCTTAACTTTGTGCCATCCGTATAAGTCGGACCCCATTCTTAAAATTAATTCTTATATGGTTTGCCACACAATTAAAACTTACCGACGTTTGAATGTAAAAAATATATCTTATACTTTTCTTTTTTTTGCAATTTGTTTTTTTATATTAGATTCGAGAGGCACCAGGAAGGCCCCGGCTTGAAAATAATCAGCCAGAGTTGCTGAAGGCTATAATTGACATCGCGACATTTGGCGGAGGTGCTGACAATCGCCGACGCACAGAATTAGTAAGAAGTTGCACGACCTTGACAGACTTGCATAAGGAACTTGAAGCTCAAGGTTTTACTTTATCACGGAGTGGTGCTTATCTTAGACTTCTTCCTAGAAACTCTCGTACAGCAGAGGGAAAAAAGCATGTCATCACTGTGCCAGTGAAGCTATGCAGGGCGCAAGCAGATGCAAGAAAAGAGCATTTTGACGGGAAATTTTGTACCGCTTCAATAAAGTAATTAATCATTTACTATAAATTGATACTATTTTACATGTTTAGCTACAATACTATTTTCCTTTACAGGTCTGTAGAGCAATTAATATCAATATTAGGTGATAAACAAGTAGGCGTTATCTCCCAGGATGACAAAAGCAGGGTACCTCTTGGTCTAACTGCCGCAAAAAATCAGGCACCTATTCTAATGCATCTAGAATACAAGATAAAATTGCCAGACCACGATTGGGTGGTAGCCTCTAAACATAAACTAATACCTAGTGTTTATGCAGGTATTAAAATCAAAAATGGCAAAATTGGCGATCCTAAGACAGTGACTTATTCTGGGCCCACGTATATTTCGATTCGTAGTGCGAAACATTCATCTAGCACTGCAGAATCACATGCTTTTGATTTTCAGAAACTTATGAATTTAAAATCTTTTAACGATATTCTTTATGGTAAAATCAGTTTAAATGCAAAAATTCGTTAAATAAAAAAGTCGATTTTAGTTAAATTATTTTTTTCTTTCAGCCGGAGAACAAATTAAGCCTGTGATTGTAATACTGTGCGATGGTGGACCTGATGAAAATCCCCGCTACCAAAAAGTAATTTCACATGCGGTACACCATTTTCAAGTTTACAATCTAGATGCACTTTTTTTAATAACTAATGCTCCTGGGAGAAGTGCGTACAATCGCGTTGAAAGGCGTATGGCGCCTTTAAGCCGGGAATTATCTGGGTTAATACTCCCTCATGATCATTTTGGGACGCACCTTCATAATAATATTGTAGTTGACAAAACCTTGGAGTTAAAAAATTTCGAATTTGCTGGAGAGACACTGGCCAATGTATGGAGTAATTTGATTATCGATGGGTACCCGGTACACGCGGAGTACATCAAGCCAGAATGTAGTGCTGCTCAAAGTCCAAATACTGTATCACCTGAATGGTATAGTGTGCATGTGCAAGAGAGCCAATACTTTTTACAGGTTTAAGTCCACATATATCTTAAAATATATATTGTTTTTCATCTTTAATTAAGAAACAAAATTTATAAACTTATTTTAATAATTGCAGATCGTTAAGTGCGCTGATGAAAGCTGCTGTGGCGAGTGGAGAAGTAATATAAAAGATGTTCTTCCCATGAGTAATGGTTTTCTACCACCGCCTTTTCCTTTGCGTAGGACAGATCAAGGAAAACTCATCATTCCTCCCCCCGAAGATGTCAAGGAAAGTGATAGTTTTCCGGACCTTTGCCTACGCCAGTCTATTGGATTAAAACCTGTCACTACAACAGCTTCTCCTATTCCATACGATTTTTACTGTCCTTCAGTGCGTTATGAAATCGAAGGTATAAATTAAAGAATCATTAGACACACAGCCGAAAAAAAGTCATAACCTAAGTCCGTCATTTTGACTGTATTTATAAATATAAACAATTTGTAAATTTTTCTTAATTTTCAGGAAGAACATGTGATTTTTGTGGTGCTTATTTTGCATCCAAAAAGCAAAAAGGCATCCACAGTAAAGCCGTACATGGTCGTAGCACCAGCGCTTGTGAAAAACAGCGTGTAAACAAATTAATCACAAAGCGGGGAACAGAAGTATTATGTGAAATCGGTACTTTAGAGCCCGTAATAGAGTGGCTTGAAGAAGAAGAGATTCAAATAGGCTCGCTTGATGTTCCTAATGACGAATCAGACGAAAATGTATTTCCGGTCATAACTGACCTACATGATTGGTTGATCTCATTATTTACAGAAGATTTTTCTTAAATATTTATATTTAAATTAAAAATATTAGTCATTTAAGTGATTTTTTATGTTGATGTTGAAGATTTAACATTTTATTCAATTTTATTTCATGTTCAAACGAAAAAAAGATTAATAAAGTTCATGTTAAAAGATACGTTTGTTGCTATATGCAAAAATGAAAAAAAAATGTGTTTTAATTGACATGTTTCTATTTATACTATGTTTTTATGAATAAAAATGCATTTTTATAAAATTGAAAAAACTACGTTCTACTGGACGGGGGGGGGGGTAAACCGAAAACTACGCTGGTCTACGTGGGGGGAGGGAGGGGTCAAAAAGTGACAAATTTGAGACTACGTAGTTTATGGACGATCCCTTAAACACCGTATATTTACACACAGATTTCGACCATTTATTGTTATTCCGCCTTCTTCGCGAATTGTCACTAATTCTTGAACTAACTATTCATAAAATGCAAATATATCAGTTGATTTTTCTTTACCTTTATAAATTCCTACTATAAGAGGCTAACATTTAGAAATATTGATTATTCTGAACTGATGTGGCCAAAACTGACATTCTCCCTTGTCCACTTTTGCTCCATCAGTACTCAAATCAATTACCACCGTTTCTGGTAATTTATCTGGAGGCAAACTTTCTAATTTTTTAACGAGAGTCTTTCTGAAACCAATATGTAGGTATTCCCCTCCTTCAATTTCTGTAATTCGTGAAGTAGCAATAACTGTTGGAGTATTCAATACAGTCCTTGAGTCCTTAGGTAAAGAAATTAAATTAAAAGGAAATTTCCGTAATGTTTTTAAAATTATGTTCCCCTGCTTATGATTTATATTCGCATTTAAAATGCATTCTTCAATGCCGCCCGTTGTAAATCACTAATATTTTGTGGAACATAAATATTTGCGTCTTCATCTTCTGAACCACTTGGTTCGATGACATTTGCTTCTTCATCCGTATTCATAGAAATATTACTATCATCATTACTATCATATATACTTTCATCATCTTCTGCTGAAAAACTTTCAGAAACTTCATTATCTGATGACTGTTCCTGATATGGATTTGGTAAATTTTCTTCTGGAACATTTTCCAATATTGCTTCTTCGACTTCATATTCATCTGAAGTAGATTCCTGTTTATCTATTCTATTATTGCGAATTGTAGATAAACGTCTCCTTTTTTGTCTTGAACTTAAGTCAGAAAATCTTTTAAATTTTTCAGACATTTACTTGATTTATGATTTTTTTCCAAAGCAGGAAAATCTCTGTTAATAATAAATTTCAAAATATATGTATTTATATGAACGCTATAGATGTTTCAATTTACATCCACAAAAATCATAGGATTAAATAAATTTTTATAAGTAGTTATTTTAAAAAATATTATTAATTACAGCAATTAACTATCTTAATTACAATAAATTATTTTTTAGAGTTTTGTTAAGTAATATATATATGTAAAATATATTAAATTTGAAAAATAATCTCTTGATAATTGGAGGTTTAAGAAATGAAATACAATGTGTTTACCTTGAAATTAAATCCAAATTATAAAGACAACAATTTTATTTC